AGGTATGTGAGAGGGAGGCTTGCATTGCATAAACTTTATTCAATCAAAGTGGAGCGACTGGAGATAAAAATAGTTTGAATTCCTGGAACTGGGACCCATATGTACATTGAGGGGTGAGGTATGTGAGAGGGAGGCTTGCATTGCATAAACTTTATTTAACCAAAGTGGAGCGACTGGAGATAAAAATAGTTTGAATTTCTGGAACTGGGACCCATATGTACATTGAATATTTGCCCATTTTTCCAGGCTTTTAACTTTACTCTTTTCATTTCTATTGTTTCGAATTCATTATTAGTTCAGCTGACATTGCTCAAACATTCAGTCTACCGTTAAACCTACAAACATACTAAACTCATAAAAATCCACAATCAAATAATTAAAACTGAATGGATCATCATCAAATGGACCTTTTTTAGTCGTGACCCTTCTTCCAGGAGACTACCGGAAGTCCCTATAGGAATCTGACTTATCGTAAAACAATTCCAAATAGTTTCCTCGTCGGCCCACTGGAGTATGATGTTGTTTTTAACAGGTGTGAATCATGGGGCTCTTAATTCACATCTATCAATCACGAAAAGTTCAACTTCAGAACCGGCCCGTCTGACCTCAACTCGAGGGGCAGTCACATGTATGACAACACTAATCAAAGGTCTCATTCTCGTAAGATTGAGGGAACAGAGCGTCATTCCTCGTGGTTTGTACGGTCATATGTTCCGGAAAATGCAGCCATTACATTTGCACTGAGAATTAATGCAACATTGAGTTGCATGGTTTCTTGATGAGCCACTAAACCCCACGGGTGCGATGGTACTTTACACTGGTGTACCAGCGTAAAAATATCTCTGGCAGCAAAAGCTAGTCCCATCAATCAAATGGTAATCGAACTTCGGCTGGTCTGAGAAACTCAGTAATGGAGTCAGGAAACAGAACGAAAGCATAGAAGCAATAGGGACACAGGAAATGGCCTCAAATAGGTTTACTCAGCAGTAATTCCTATAGAAAATTGATGAACTCACTTCCTTTTCCGACCAATCTCATCAGTTTCACGAAAAAGCTTTTTCTCTTCATTGACATTGATGCTGGCTAGTGGGGTTTACAGACCAGGCACTAGCAAATAGTAAGTATCTGGAAGTGTACAGTAGTATAGTAAAGTATGTCGATGTTGGAAATTTGAAATGCTTCAACGGAACACTGCGATACGATACGACGGCGACACACTAGAATAGATTGATGGAACGCCGTTCTGCTAGGGGGTGGGGCCCATGCGCCCGCTCCTCCCCCTGCCGGCATTACCCCCCGCGGGCGGTCCACACGTTGGGGCGACCAGCATACAACATAAAAACAATCTCTGATTCAATGACATCGAGAGGTGTAAAGGTTACTCTCGAAGTTTACTTGTTGGAGAAAACCGGAAGCATACGGTGATCCAACAATAGGTTTGGGGAACCTGTAAAGTGAGTCACAACCTCTCCATATAGAACGCTAACTTTAATTCGAGTAGTAGCTGGGCATTGGTTGATTACCTTCCCAGAGTGCCCCAGAAGCTCAGCTCCCATTCAAAAAAACCTATGGATCGAAACATGCACTGAGCTTAAGCAGTGGGATCCATAAGTAAACCAAAGTGTAGGTCAGAAGTTTTCCAGTTCAGATAGGTTTGGCACCAACCAACAGTCCCAAAAATAGTTGAAGCCTCTAGAGTATGGCATATAAGTAGGCGTTTGAAGCGAAAAGTGATCAGCTCACGTGGGGATGAGCTCCTTTTCGAGAGATTCTCACTAAAAGGGCTTCAATGAAAATTCCAGCTCACTAAAAGGGCTTCAGTGAGATCTGTCTCTTCTAAAGTTCTCTAGGAGGAAAGTTACAGGGATAACAAAACATCGCAGATTGGAGAAGGATGAGTAAAGAAAAAATGGAAGTGAAAATAATAAGGACGAAGGAAATACCGTGCTAGTTGTTTAGGGAACGTATTTATATCATATAAACGGGAAAGTTGCTGTAAGATTTCAGTTTTCGTCCGGGAGGAGTGGAAGGAGAAAGGAAAAAGGGATGAATTCATGAGTGAAGGGTGGGCCAACGGTCTCACTATGAAAGAATTATATGCGTTCCGCAACTCCCAAAAAAAGATGGGGTTATGACCGTTTGATTTTCGATTCAATTTTTTCTTCATATGACGTAACTGTACTGCAAACGGTTTGTTTAATTCTACGACTTCTACGTGACAAAATTGTCTGTCGACGATTGAAAGTCCAAAGTCGGAGATTTCAACGAAAATTGAATTAGTGACGCAATCAGTCTCGTCAACTGTAATGCACTCAAAAACTGTTATATAAGAAGAAATTGGACTAATGCAAAAGGAAAGTAAAGAATAGATCCATGGGCTGCTGGAACCGTTAAGGACACAGTTTTTATACTCGATAGATTACAACTGAGAGTAAACAAGGTTGCAGAAAGACAAACAAAAGTTGTTCGATTTGAGAGAAGAGCTATCCAGTATCTTTGATGGGCCTTCAAGAAGCCCATTCAAGATATAAAAGCGAAAAAGTAACAGCGACATCTGTCAGATGCACAGCTGTTCAGTTCACGACGTTACTGAGTGCTCAAGAAGCACAGTATTTATTCCACTCGATCATCTGACCGGGCCGCGTTGGTAGTACAGACCCCTCCTCCTTCGCCCCACCCCCTGACTCGCTTTGACTTCTGAATTTTCAATTTATTTATGTAAATGGGTAGATGTACTCAAGTGGTTAAGAAATCATGCACCTCCACTGTCTTCATCCGTCTCGTTTAAAGAAGTGGAAATAATCCTTCCTGCTGAGAATTCAACTGAAATTTCCACGGAAATGCTTGGGACAGTGGTTCAGAGTATTGAATAGTTTTTGCATTTAAACGGAAAGGCTTATTACACGCTTGGCTGCCTTCGTTCGGCACAAAATAAATTTGGACGTTTAAAAGATGATGTTAGTCGAGTCGAGCTTATCGGAATCGTTCTTTCTGATTCCCTATTTTGTAGGGCATTTGGGGAAATTAGATAATTGGGATAGTGCCAAGCTGGTAAATTGGACGTGGTGGTTTAGTGCAGAGCTAATAAATTAGATGGAGAAGGAATAATGCTGAGCTGGTAATTTGGAGGTGAGACAGTCTGAGGGGACAGCGTTACGGTGCCGTGTGGTCCGGGGATCAAACTCAGACTTGTCCCCAAAGTCTCGCTGATTCCTCCAACTTCGGCTGAATTATATCGGACTCGCGGAGAGGATACATGCCATTAACTGGAACAATCAATTTAATGTATAGAGCACATACGAATTCAAAGGTCTCTGCGATTCTGAATGGAAGTCGAGTACAGAGTACACCCCGAAAATTGAGAGTTTTTTGGCGTTGCTTAGTCAACATTTTCAATCTTTTTTTTTTCAATTAAGCCCAACTTCTATAGATTTTCGAAATTCTCTCTCTAACAGAGTACAACACTGCATCAATAAGTTACGGGGACAGAACGTGATGAGTGAGAAATCTTGTGCAGTTTTACCAGTCCACTGTGTTACTGTGGCATAGCTCATTTCAAAAGCAAATTTCGTCATACCGTAGTAAAATAGTTATCATTTGAAGAAATATTCTTTGCTCACGGTTAGGTTAGCTACACGTCGCCTTGACAATTTCAAATATTCTGGATGTCCAATAGAGTATTATTTTATTTCTTTGTCTAATTTATTTAAATAGCTTGTTCATGGTTATTGAATTAATTTTAAACTATATCACTTCTACTGAGGTTCCAAAAGGCATAGTCCAAATGTGGCTCAGAAAAGAAGAGTAAAAAAAACATGCTCTTATCAGTTTTTTGTCGGTTGGAATTGCAAACGTTTTGCGAGAATTTTGCTGGCTTTTGTTGACCTTTTCGCTCCTCAAAGGCTGTTATCAATAAGAATCTGATGGAATTCTATGGTAATCCTTTGTAGAATGAGAGATAGAAAGTGGTTAAAGGCGCTCCGCTAAAGGCGGAGCTCTTCACATAAATTCCTCAAGTGTTTACATGACGACCTTCCCATGTGATGTTTTTTTCGAGAAAGTCGCGGATTGTAGGAGCCTGATTCCGGAAATGTCGCCGCTTTCCAGTTCATGACCTTGCCCTTTGGAAAGCGTTGCCCTTTAACGAATACGTTTCGTAGTCACAAGTTCATAAGCCCGATTCTTATCTCCCTCAAGATTGTGTGGCACAACTCGCCGAACTAAAACATCGTGCTTGGAATTTATATTCCCTAAAAAGTGTTCATAGCATTACGGAACTATAATGCGAGGCGTTAACGCATATTTTTCCAAAAGAGCTCTTCGTGTTGGTAGATTTATGGCATATTGGAGGATTTATTCTCCGGTGTATTCGGCCTCGGCTAGTATCGCCTGAACCGCAAAAAAGCTCGGAAATTTGGAAGCAAATTTTTATCAAGTGTGACAAAATGTCCGTCCTCCGGACATGGAAGATTCATGCTGGACTAGACCAGAAAGAGTTCTGATTTGAGGATTGACTCTTTTCACGCATATCAACGGCTCAATGACCATTCGAATGGCACAGCTGCCTCGAAGGGGATGGGAGCACGCCGTCTGAAGCTGCCGTGGCAGCAAACAGACAGTAGTAATTAAGCAATCAATTCGATTCGATATCACGAGGGATCATAAGAGCCGGTCCGCTGCAGCCCAGCTTGAAAGTAATGCACATGGCGCACTCCAACAGACTTAACTCTCGTTGGACACTGCTCTTTCAAGCGGAGCTCTTTTTGTTCTCTTCGAAAGTAAGAGTATCGAAACTGCCCTTACATCTTGATTAATATCTTTTACTGTTTCTGAACTGCACTTTCTCTCAGGGCCTCCTCCGAAAGTACGGTAGTGGTGGAGAGAACCTTTACTGATAGCGGAGGAAGGACTACGTCTATACTATAGGCTATTTTTAATGACTAGAAACCCGAGTTCTATGCCTTTGTGTATCTGTATGTGTTCTAACTGCCTTAATACTTGTACGATGATCGGATCAGAACGACGTCATTCCTCGTGCCGAATTGACAAATCGGATGATTGTTCTTCGGAAGGTCAACTTCTTCCTTAATCTCTTGTATTTTGATTTTGAGACTGTGTACACAATACAGAATCGTGCGGTATCAAACGAAAGGGAAATACAAGGTCGGCGCCGGATCGACCGATAAGCACTCTTATCAGAGTTTACAATCGTTTCTAAGCCAATAAAAAATAATCAAAGCCCTTTCAGCACGAGTGTACTAAAGGGGGGAGTATCGTTCTTTGTGGTAGTCATTTGGTAGGATTTCTATGACACATAGGCGACAATCGACACCAACAGAGCGAAAACCGACTGCCATACGATCTTGTGATATGATCTTATCGCCGCTATCAGCCCCGAGCAGTAGCTAACGACCAGCCATCAACATGTGATTGTACGTGAGAAGAGAGAAAAGCGAAACTATGAAAATCAAATGGAATTTGTTATGTGGCCTGTTGATAAGGGCAAAACTATACATAAACATTGCGAAAGTAAGATATCAAAAACCAAGTTCATCACTTTGTTTACCTACAAATAGCGCCTCAACGTTCATTACGAGATCAAGTAAATAGTATGGGGACTAAGTCCATTACTGTGGAGCCATTGTCTGTTTACCGGATCGGTCCAAAAGCGGTCTCAAAACGATTTCGATCTTTGAAACGTGAACGTGTTCATAAAAAGTGAAGAGTAGTTCTGCTCGGAGGTAAATATGGCAGTTCAAGTCTAGGCATCAGGAATCAACTTTTCCCGGATATTTTACTACTAAGTAGTAATGAGGCAGAGTACGAGACTTCCTGTCAGCTAAGTTGCTGAAACATTTGTGCGTAGGTTGTGGACATCGCCATGTGACGATACAATCGTACGCATGCACTTCGGGAATCAATTTCCTAATCGGATATCGCTCAAGCCCGTCAAGCCTTCAATGCCTTGGGGATTGATTGGTTTGTGCCTGAATTCATTCCAGGAGAAGTAATTTTAATACAACACCAAAAATAATCTGCTTTCTTGGATTTTTCAATCTTATTTTACA